TGAAAATTGAACTTTAGTTGTTAGATATGCCATTGGAATTAAGTGGGAAGCCTGTAAATCATCCTATATACTTAATGCCTTAGTTTCCTTAAACTTTATAAGCCTTTTCATTGAAGCTTTTAACTTGCATCAATGAAGCTTTAATTTGCACATTCAAAATCATCAATAAGGAGATAAAATCAAATAAATCATTCTCCAAAAAAGCAATATGTTTCTAAACTTCAAATAATAATTTTAATTACGCCCATTGAACAACCATTAATTAGAAAAATTATTATTTGATGATGTCAGCACGTACAAACAAAGGTGAATGGGGAGACCGCACACTATAAATTCACGTGTATCCACTGTTGTTTGTACATATAGCGTCTGTATGTAATAACGTCTCCTTAATTAGTCTTTAAAAAGACAATTCAAACTTACTTTCATTCCAAAAAATAATGAAATAAAAGAATAGGAATCAAATTAGATCAGGTTTAAAATATTAAAATAATATTAATTTTGCATTAAGAAGTTACTAGAAATTTCAATTTAATTAAAATATATTTTCTAACTAAAAGTAAAATTATATTATCATGCATTCCTCTTATTAATGCTAAGCATGATTTACATTAAGAATGACATGCAAGTTCACTAAATAACTGATGAGTGCAATAGTACCAACATTTCACATAAGAGCATTTATAAATTTGATTATAAATAATTTTAAAAGTATAATTAGTAACTAATTATACTTTATTTGTATTTACTTTAATAAAAAAATAAGAGCTAATCTCATAAAAATTTTTATCAAATTTATTTTTTAAAGTGCTAGTAAAATCATAATAAATGATTAATTTAGAGTTTAATCTTAATTGAGATCACAACTACTAAAAATTAATTTTAATTTTTGTTTTTTATATCATATTTATTTAGGCATTATTGCAATTTCAAGTGAAAATAATGATGATTTTCTTATTTTTAAAATGTTGTTTATTTTAATTAAACTATTAATAGGTGATTTTTAAAATTTGCTCTAAAAATAATACAATTTTATAGGTCAGATTGAAGTAAAAAATATATTTTACATGTCAAGATAAAACATATATTTTCAAGACTTTATATTTTATTTTACATACCGGAGAAGTATTAAAAGCAAACATATATTTTAATTCAAGCAAAAAAAAAATTAAAAATAAATGTGTACGATCTAACCTAAAATATTAGCTTCAACTGCTGTCATTCAACACTTTAAAGAGCTTAGAAAATTATGTGTCGCTCGTCGTGACTCTTTGGTTGGCATCTGCGAAGTCGGTTCTAAATTCTTGGGGTCATCTTTCCCTTAATTAGGAAAAAGAAAATTAACTCAGAATAATTTTGTTTAAATTTTAACTTGAATGAGTCGCTAAATTATTTTTTAATGAATAAAATTTTAAATTTAATTAATTGCTTATGTAGTAATATCATTTTTTTAAAATAAATAATTAATAAAATTTTTTAATATTTTTCATCAAATCATCTTGTTAATTTAAAATATTTAAAAATTTACGTAATATCCACAAAAAAAATTTACATACATGCCACTCTTCATCTTCCCTTTAATTACATATCTAACGCCCTGACTTCAATTTTTACATATTTGTTATCTTATCTATGCATGAAAGTTATATTTTATTTAAAAAAAAATTAAAAAAATAAAAAACTTGTCTTATAATTATAATTAAAGTTTGGTTGGTATTAATGTAAAAATCAAAATTTAAGACAACATAAAGAGAAAGGAGACAGAGATTAACAGTCTCGAAAGCTTGCAATCGCAAACTATAATTATGAGACCTGATCCTTGAGCGGACCAGGCTTAGCACGTGTCGGGTTTCTTCGGGCTTTAACTAAGTTAAAGCCGGTGCTTGGGTCTGGCCAAGCCCATTATATTTTTACTTCTTCGTAGCCAAGTCCGTTCATTATAAATAGGCTTATAAGGAGCTCATCGGGTCACATGCCCAATACTTGGGTCTAATTAGACGGCTGATATAAAAGTTCATTTTTT